AATGCAATAGTGTTCAAGATATTTCGTGTTCCTGTCAAAACAAATAAATTCGTATGGATATTCTCATTTACTTCGTGTACATACTAGGAAACCCGTGAAAAATTATTCAGATGCAAAGAGACTCCACCGTAAATAATTCATTATAATGAATAAAGAATACAATTCATTTCTTTAAATACTAGATGTGGTTTGTTTTTTTAATAAAACTTCTTAAGTATCATAAAGGTTCTAACTCATTTTTCATAGGGACCGCAAAGCTGTTTTAAGGAGACCCACAACAAAAAAAAAAAAAAGAGCACCAGATAAAATGATTGGCTTTTTTTCACTGTTGGCCGCTCGTTACCACGTCCCATGAAGAATTCGAACTTTAGTTTCTCGGGTATGTTGGTGTATGTGTTTAGACCCAACTGCGTTCTCGGGAATCGAGCGTGTGTATTGGAGATTGCACTTATGTTCGCGCATCCGCCCGTTATGGCATCTATAAATGCTATTTCCCGAGCAAAAAGGGATTTTTATCTTCCTCTCTCCAGAGTGCTCTCTCTTTCGGTCTTACTTGTAGTTTTTATATTATTCCATTATTTGTTCTACCAAAATAATTTGACTAACATACCTCTTTCGTATAATATCAGCATTTTTGTTATTTTTAACTAAGTGATAGTGAACTTAAGTTCATTGGGAGTTGTGAAACATCAGAGCAGTGATGTCACTGTAGTGACTTTCAGCTTCCCCGATTGAAATTCATTGTATCAGCTGATGAAACGTCAGAGCCATTATAAATAAATCGAAATAAAGTTTGTTCTGACGGTGACAATTGAGTTCCATAATCACCACGTGTATACAACATGTTGATAGAGCCGTGTGATTACAGTAATTGCAGCAGAGCGTCGGCGGTCAGGATATTATATTAATCTTTCTGCTTCCGCAGAATTTCGAGTTCCGAAGAGTTTGATTGACTCGCGCTGCGCTTACTTTCCCTGCACAAAACGCCAGAGTGCTCGGCACCGTCTTCATTTCACTCAAAACGTCAAATCAAATTTCCAAGCGAACAACTATGAATTTTAACCGGGCCAGGTGTGTTAGCAATACACAGCATTTATACCGCTTCAAAGGTACAGAAAGGCGAAAGCGTATGTGCTGTAGTAAGAAGTGTGAGAGCTGCGCGGAAATGGTTGTGCTTTGTTGCAGCACCAACAACTCGAACGACCAAGCACGTGTTGCTGCGGAACGTGAACCTCAAGTCCGACGGGAAGTGTACCGCTGCGAGGTGTCCGCCGAGGCGCCTTCCTTTGCCTCCGCACAGCGGCGAGGGCGCGCATGAGGTCGTCTGTGTACCTCTCCTTCGCATGAGGAATCGCTGATTGTATATACTCGCTGCACAATTTTCTTGAACGAGGGATTGCAGAAATGTGGGGTAGAGTGGGTTAGTTACGAAATCGGACACTAGAGTTTAATGAAGAAATGCCATTCTAGAAAAATCAGCCATGCCTTCTCAACTGTATAAATAATTTGCGTTTTAACATTTCAGAGTTCGAGTAAATCCTGTGGTGGATCTTCGCCTGCTCGGTCATGTTCTTTAGTTTTTTGGAGAAAGCACGGAACAGAAGTTCTCGTTTCACAGAAAATAGTTGTGCTTCGCCGTCAGTGAAAATGGTTTGGAATGATGTCTTCAGTGTTCGCTACGAGCTTTTGCTCACGGGTTTTATTGTGCAAGAGAGGGGAAAAAAGGTAATTGTTCAGAAAAGTTGCGCATTAATAGCAGGTACAGATTATCCTCACAGCCCGCTGTTTCCTTTTGACGTTGGTTAGTAAGCAATAGCCGATGTACGCCATTCTAAGGTTGCCCTCAGCATCCTCTTCTCAAAATAACCTCCTTCACTTTTGACGTCCTCAGAAGTCATAGCTGGATGCATCCCGGGTTCAGGTTTTCTTTCTCACGCCGCTCCCATTCAATCACCGTTCACTCTTGGCTACTTACAAAGATCAATGTCCCTAATTGCATTCTGGTTGATGTTTTTATGATGAAAAGGAAGGGGGAAAGTAATAAGAGCCCCTCATACCGCGCCCACTCAGCAGCAGTCTC